ATATATATATATATATATAATCATTATTCTTATCATATTATAATAGTATAAGGGTTGAATTTTAAACTTGTAAAATTCTAGGGTTTAGAATTTAAATGTTTCAAAATTAAACTTTTAATCAAAATATTTAAATTTCAAAACTTGAGGGCAAGTTTTGAACATTTTCAAAACTTTCTAGATCAAATTACAAATAATTTAATTAAACAATTAATTAGTGATTATCTAAATTTGACCTAATTCAATTTCATGGCAAGATAATTCAATCAAATAATTCAAATAATTAAGATTATCATATAAGGCAATAATTATCTAATTAATTGACAATTATTTTCTATTTTTGATAAGGATAATCATATCAATTTAATAGAAAATTTATTAATAAAAAACGTTTTTGGTAATTATCCCAATTAAAAATAGACCAAAATCCCAAAAGATCTGCTCCCTGAGTCTCCGACTCGCCGAGTCACTGACTGGACTCGTCGAGTTCATCCGACTCGTCGAGTTCATCTGGTGACTTGACGAGTTCAACTGTCAGAGGGCAGAAATTTCGATTTTGCAAGCAATAGATGATCAAACAAGACATCAAATACAATATAAAACAGCCTAGGCTCTGATACCACTAATGGGTTATGAGCATTACATCAATCCTATGGTACACATGCAAACCCTAAGGCTTTGGATCTAGGTTTCTCTAATTGTACATGCAAATCATCCAAAGCTTGTAAACCCTAATTCTATCATACAAAAATCGAAAATCATAACTAAACTAAGGTTAGGAAATTACCTTTCAATTGTAGCTTGAAGATCTTGAGCTTTGAGAACCTAACACCTCAAATGCGATGCCTCTAATGAGTCACAAACACCAAAGCAAGTTGGATGATCTTGGAGAGAGGGGAATGAGGCTCAAAATCGGCTCTTTATCTCTAGGGTTCTTTTGGTAGCCGAAAATTCAAAGCCTAGGGTCCTTTATATAGGTGAGCTGCTAGGGTTTCAGTCAAAACCCTAATTGGATTGCTTAGGCCTTAAACAGTCCAAAGGAACCTTCCAGAAACAAGGCCTTGGAACCAGGGAGCTCTCTACAATAAAACACATGTTCCCCAAAAGTCTCCAAACATGCCTTGCGGCAAACTGGGCATATCTCGTCAATTGGGAATAGAGGAATCATGAGGCGGTAGTGAAGGATAGTTCGGTACTCCACATGAGACATATGCTGGCCGAGGCCATCAATAGGGATAGTTAGCAGAATATCCTGAGCACGAGGTGCCAAAATCGAGAAATCAGTGAAATCCAAAATCAAACTTAAGACCAATATCGAGAAATCAGTAAAACTTACTCAAACAATGATCAATGAACTTTAGCATTATCAACAACATTCATCAGAATTCCACCAGATTAGAGTCTTGACCATGGAAAATCGAAAAATTAGAAATCGATTAGTAAGGCTTGATAATCAACAATCAAGCTTTAGGAAATGAGTATAAGAAATAAGTCAGATTATCATAGACGTTTAAGAGAAATTAAAAATCTTGAGCATATGAGTTTAATCGATAAAGAGAGAAAGAAATCACATTATCATTTCTTTTAATCGAAAAATTATAAATCTTAAGTCTTGAGACAATCAACAATCGATGGCGTTTAAGAGACCGACGAGTCTTGAATTCCTAGTCAATTCTTGGAAATCTTAATCAACGTTTGATTAGGTTTTGAAGTCCCACTCCATCCTTTGGCATTTGGTGATTGGATTTTTGGCCCTTTTTCAACAGATCGATGCTAGAAAATATGAGCTTTCAACTCTTAACCTAATATAACAGCTCTAAAATGTGGGCCCTTAGACATTTGGGGGCTCGGGACGGTCGCCCAGCTTGCCCAGACCCATGGACACGCCCTGCTCTTCAATAAGGAAATAAGAGTTTGATTCCTTATAATAATACATTTTTTTAGATGCCGAGTAAAAAAATAACCTAAGTATATTTGAACTCATCAACCATGTCGAACCGGCCGAACATGACAACCCAAGTTCCAGAGCTAATTATAGCCCCTCAACTTTTTCTTTTTACATTTTAGCTCAATTGTTTTATTTTTTACAATTCTATCCCAACATTTAATTATTTTTATCAATTTAGTAATATATATATATATATATATATATATATTATATATATATATACAATTTTTTCCTAATTTTTTACAAATTTATTTTGTATTGTTTTCAAAACTTACCTTTTTAACTTTTTTTTATACAAGTTTGTATTTATCATTTTCACAATATTTTTTACGAATTCGGCCAAACCTTTTTTTTCTTTTTACAATTTTTCCTGATTTTTTTACTACTTTGATTTTTTATATTTCTTTTGAAACTTAATATATTTTACATTTTTTTTTGCATAACTTTTTACATCATTCTTACAACTTCATCCGAGGGAACACCAAAACAAAGACATGGATTTGGTAAAAATAGATGTTTTCAATTCATCAAAAGGGAAAGCTTTTTGTACATCCACATAATGTACTGAAGTAGACATTATTGCCACTATAATAAAAGCTTGTCTTGGTTGATGGAATCCAAGAAGGTAAGAACTACACCATGTCTATGCTCCTTAGGCCAAATATGACATACAGGTGAGACTTGCACTATACACATGCTTTGCGAGAAACAGTTTCTTTATTATGTTTTTTAACAACTTGGAAACCATGGATTTCTTAGTTTTTAGTTTTCGCCTATTGTAGGTAACATTTTTTTTAAAAGAAAAATTTATATGTAGATTTGTTTTATATATTCATTTTCCACCCCTTAGTTTATTTTAGAGGAAATGACTCAAAGGGGTAACTATGTTTCAAAATCGTTCAAAAAACACCATCCAAGCTTGGTATGTTTAAAAAACATCATCTGAGTAAACTTTTTGTACAAAAAACACCAACAAATTATATGTTTTGTTCAAATATTACCCACCGGTAACTGGTTAAATGATGACTTGGCTTAACTATTATGACCATGACATAATAATTATTGACAAAACAATAAATGATATATTCCTCATTTAAAAATCGATTTAGGGTTTCTTCATGAACGAATGACTTCTTCTTCTCCTATGATTGCTCTTCTTCTTCTTCTTCTAAAGTGATGATCTCGCACTTAAGTCCAAAACCCTAATTCTTGACTTAAGGCAAAAAGGGCTCCTTTACCCTTGGCTCAATGGGCATCCCCCCCCCCTAAGGCCCATATCCATAAAAAGCCCAAAAAGGCATCCAAGCCCAACTATAAGGCCTCTAAGGCCCAATATGGACCAAGAACCCCCAACATGGCCTTAAGCCCAAAAAATGATCTGCTACAATCAGACAGCCATACCGAGGGTTATGGCATTCGAATTGCGATTCTTAGTGTTACCTTAATGCTAAATTAGATTTCGTCATTCCGGGGTCCAACCGAGGGTTATGGCCTTCGGAAACGAAATCGCAATCTAATTTATACCCTGGCATAGCTCTCTGATGCCTAAATTAGATTGCGATTCTTAGTGTTACCTTAATGCTATGTATGTTATCTCTTTTTTGCCTTACCTTACTCTGTCTCAGATATCATGTCTTTGGGGTATTTATAGGCGGCTCGTTGTTAGAAGAGTTTATAGTCTTGACCGGTCCTTCATTTTATTATCCGGTCTACATACATGCACGTCTCTTGTCCTTTCCTTGTTATTTTATTGTTTCGTACCATTTCTTTTGCATGTTTCCTGGGATATGGTTCCGATACTTGTGTGTGTTGTATTCGAATTTATATTCGTTCGTAACAAGTCATGGTGTCTATAACGCCCATTTGGTGATGGATAATGTGGGTTGTGGGGACCGAGTGTTCGGTTTGTGTTGGAGCCCAAGGGCAGATCAGTAAGTATCAGTTCGAGCCTTTATGAAGTTTGGGTTTATGTTAGAAAAGTTTTAAGGCAAGGGAGAGTTGATAGAAGTGTAGAGCTTCTCGTTTCCTTCCCGTGGATATAAAGAATGATGAAATCAAACTTAGAATGAAGAAGTTATCGCCTTCGGAAGATTGACGGTTCTTGACCCTAGCCGAGTACGCCGAGCGTACTGGCTCGAAATCCGGATCGCAGAGGCTTCAACATATGCTGGGCGTATGCATGGACTTGTTTAAGTTAGGCCTCGGGCCCACCTGATTGTAGCATGCCATTTATTGGACTTAAGGCCATGTTGGGGGTTCTTGGCCCATATTGGACCTTAGAGGCCTTGTAGTTGGGCTTGGATGCCTTTTGAGCTTTTTATGGATTTAGGCCTTAGGGGGAGGGAGGCCCATTGATGCAAGGGTAAAGGAGCCCTTTTTGCCTTAAGTTAAGAATTATGGTGGACTTGAGTTCGAGATCATCACTTTAAAAGAAGAAGAGCAATCATAGGAGAAGAAGAAGTCATTCGTTCATGAAGAAACCCTAAATCGATTTTTAAAGGAGGAATATATCATTTATTGTTTTGTCAATAATTAATATGCCATGTCATAATAGTTAAGCCAAGTCATCATTTAACCAGTTACCGGTGGGTCATATTTGAACAAAACATATTGTTTGTTGGTGTTTTTTGTACAATTTTTTTTTGGATGATGTTTTTTGAACATACCAAAATTGAATGGTGTTTTTTGAACGATTTTGAAACATAATTACCCTTTTGATTCATTTCCTCTTTATTTTAATCTTGAAAATATATCCTATACTTTGTATTATTTTACATAAACAAAGAAGATTTACCGAGATTTTTGTATTGGCATATACTAGCTTTGCTTTGATTTGAAGGTAGGTTTTGATAGCATCCATTTGACGTTTGACAGCAAAACGTGCATCTTGACAGAACCCAAACTAACGTCGATGAAACGTGACGGCGGAAGTGAAGTGTGAAATGTGAACCAAACAAACACTACAAAAAAAGTAATCAATTTCACCCCATCGCCTCCTTCCGCCACGTGTACTCTCTCTCCACTTCACCGTTCGATTCCTTCAACGCCCCCCGTTCCCAGAGTTTTCAACTCTATCCTGTTAACCCCACCCCAACCCCCACTCAACACCACCGAACGCAAATCACCAAATTCCAACACTCCGATCTGTTAATCTCCGCCGCCGATGGCTTCAACGTTGGCTCAAAGAGCTGAACTCGCTAAGTTTTGTACTTCTCGTGACTGGTCCAAGGCTATTCGCGTTCTCGATTCTCTCCTTTCTCAATCATGCGTTATTCAGGATATTTGGTGTGTACCTCCTATACCATTACACTCTATTATTGTTTTAATTAACTATTAATTTACGATTCGATTGTTTTGTAATTGATGATGTGTTGTTGTCGATTGATTGATTGGATTTTTTTTTTCCAGTAACCGTGCGTACTGTTATAGTCAATTGGAGCTTCACAAACATGTGATTAAGGACTGTGATAAGGCACTTAAGCTTGATCCCACTCTTCTTCACGCTTATATCCTCAAAGGTTTTTCTTTTTCCCCTCTACTTCATTTTTCAGTTATGGACATTGGGATTGATTGCCCCTGTTAATCAACCAAACCTACACAGTGTTTCTAATCAAACGATTTCTGGAAACCTAGTTTTTTAAATCTAATATTTTTAGCTTGTTATCAATCAATTCTATTAAAATTTTATCTGCCCTAAGTTTATCTGGTTGTCACTTGTAGATAAAGTCATAAAGGTTGAACTTCAGTGGCCAATGGCCAGGATTAGTTGATTATTCTAGACTCCATGACTTGTTGCGCCTGTACATAACTATTTTAGTGACCAAATTTGAATTCTTTGGTATATATGGTTTCTGTTTTCTAGTGAGATGATCAAACAAATGTTTAATTCAACACATACGATTAAATTCAGAAAGTTAAAAAGCATGCTAATGAATCAATATATTTCATATCATAATACTATGCTGTTGTACTATAAGTTCTAGGTAAGTGTTGGCCTTTCATGGTTAGCATACCATTCAAGACTTTAGAGTTGCAGCTTTATATAATCAATAGGATTTTCTACATTCATTCTTTTAGGCCCATTCATGTTGTTTTCCATGGCTGGACATAATAAAGGAGGACATCATTTTATCACCACTAACTAAAACCTGTACAGGCCATGCATATTCTGCATTGGGAAGAAAAGATGATGCTGTAATGGTGTGGGAACAAGGTTATGAACATGCTATTCATCAGTCTGCAGATTTAAAGCAACTGCTTGAGCTGGAAGAGCTTTTGACAGCTGCAAAACAGAGTATGGCTGATGCTAAACAGTTATCTGAATGGTCTGTATCAAAACCTGAGCCTAACAATTCAGTCAGAACAAGTGAAACTTCTAATAATCATACCATGTCAAGTATTGGTTATGAACCTATTGGTGATTCAAGGGAGATAGAAAGCAAGCAAAATCATGTCAGCTCCAATGGAAATCATGAAAAGCAACAAAATGGGACCTACACCATATCTGTTGACTTTGGTGCAAGATCTAGTTCAAGTGACACTCGCAAAAAATCTGATCTGAGCACTAAAATTTCATTAGTTCCTAGTAAATCGAGTGATAATGATAAATCTGACATGAACAGTGAACAAAGTAATGATGCTAAGGGGAATAAAAAGTTCTCTGTTACTAGAATCTCAAAGGCCAAGTCAATAAATGTCGATTTCCGCCTGTCACGTGGAATTGCTCAGGTTTCTTAAATATCCATGTTTATTTATTTATTTGTTTTCTATATTATTCTTCTTAAAAGATCTAGTATGAAGTGAGCATTCTGTTTTTGTAGGTGAATGAAGGGCAGTATGCTCGTGCCATATCCATCTTTGATCAGGTTAAACTTCTTTTGAACTTAATTTCTATAAGTTAGTTTTCATACCTATGTGAACATGGAAATCCATCATACATGCATCGATGATTTTCTTCTTCTTATATCTAATAACATTTTTGTCTTTTTCTCTTTATCTCTTTCTTTTTTTCTTTTCTTTTATCTGATTGCAGATATTGAGAGAAGATCCTACGTACCCTGAAGCACTAATAGGAAGGGGAACAGCCTATGCATTTAAAAGAGAACTTGATTCAGCTATTGCTGATTTTACAAAGGTACCCTAAACCCTAAACATTAGTATTGAAAAGTAATGGGGGTTAGAGCTGTTTTAATTATCCCCTTCCCTTACATTTTTTTTAGGCAATACAATCAAATCCATCAGCTGGTGAGGCATGGAAAAGGAGAGGGCAGGCTCGAGCTGCTTTAGGGGAATCTGCTGAGGTCAGGGCTTCTTTTCACTCATTCAGTTTCCAATTCTACATCTTTTTTTATAACAAAAAACAAACACCTTTTTTTTTTTTCCCCTTATATGGTTTATGTACAGGCGATTGCAGATTTGACCAAGTCCTTAGAATTTGAGCCTGACTCAGCTGATATATTGCATGAAAGGGGTATGATAATGCTTGACTTGCAATAGTTTATTTTTTAATAGAGTTTCCATCTGTTTAAAGTTTTTAACATTGAAACTGATGCAGGAATTGTCAACTTTAAGCTGAAGGATTACTATGCAGCCACTGAGGACCTGTCTGCATGTGTAAAGCTTGATAAAGATAACAAATCTGCTTACACATACTTGGTTAGTTAGCCATTTCAAAATCATTACTTTTTACATTTTGCTTTTTGTAGTAAAAAAAGCAGACTGAGAACACGTGATTGGTTATACATACAGGGTATGGCATTGTCATCAGTTGGTGAACACAAAAAGGCTGAGGAAGCACACATGAAAGCAATTCAAATTGATCAAAAGTTTCTTGAGGCATGGGGTCATTTAGCCCAGGTTAGTTGGGTGTCACTTAGCAATTCGAATAAAATGCTCAAGTAGCTTAAAAATGTGCTTAATGGCATGTGATTTTTTATTAGCTTTATCAAGACTTGGCAAATTCAAAAAAAGCTTTGGATTGCCTTCAACATGTCTTGCAAATTGATGCAAGGTAAACATTCATTCTGTAATAAAATTAAAATTATTATCCCTGCTTTTTTATAGAAACTATCATCACTAATAATTAATAATCTTCATGAATTATAGGTTTGCTAAAGGATATCACTTGCGTGGGCTTCTACTTCATGCTATGGGAGATCACAGGTGTGTTTAGTAAACAAAAACAAAAACAAAAACTACATATTAATTTGCTAATCATTTATAACTACTATTGTAGAAATGCTATCAAAGACTTATCAATTGGGCTTACCATTGAGAGCTCAAACATAGAGTGTCTCTATCTACGGGCTTCTTGTCACCATGCTATTGGAGAATACAAAGAAGCTGTATGATATACTCCTTATAGTTTTATTTTATTTTTTTCATATGTAGTTTTTGAGTTTGTGACAATATGAGTGATCTAACAGGTAAAAGATTATGATGCTGCTCTGGATCTAGAGCTAGATTCAATGGACAAATTTGTCCTTCAATGCCTAGCCTTCTATCAGGTTCCACATCTTGTATTCACTGATTAATCAATAATCATTAAGACTTAAATAATAATGAATTCTATGAAATTCTCAACCAGAAAGAAATTGCTTTATATACTTCTGCGAAAATCAATAGCGAATTTTGCTGGTTTGATATAGATGGCGACATTGACCCTTTATTTAAGGTGAACATTTTCTTTTTGTTTTTTTTGCTTAATATATTTCAATTTAATCAAACAGATGTACTAAAGTTTTAATTTTTACAGGAATACTGGTGCAAAAGATTACACCCGAAAAACGTATGTGAAAAAGTTTACAGACAACCCCCTTTAAGAAAAGCAAAGTTGAAAAAACAAGACTTTAATTTTAATAAACCAAAAATCGCACTTCTCCTTGCTGCTGATCGAATTGGCAAAACAATCCAGTATAATTGCCCAGGCTTCTTGCCTAATAAACGCCAGGTGATTTATAATTTATAATTTATAAATATAAATAAAAGGATTTATATTCATTTTTATGATATTAATTATTTGACATATATTAATCAGCATCGCATGGCTGGCTTAGCTGCAATTGAGATTGCACAAAAGGTGTCTAAGGTTTGGCGTTCATTGCAATCTGAATGGAGGTTTTCTACTAATAATAAATCCAAAAATGGAAAACGACCAAGAAGAAAAGAGAAAATCATTATTCCTTGTAGCACTAATAATAATTCAGAAGCATCAACTTCAACTGCTTTGGAAGAAAAGTCAACAGGTCAATCTGTTTTCTCATGGCTTCATCTTTATTCAATAGCTGTTAAATGGAGACAAATATCTGAACCCTGTGACCCCGTTGTGTGGGTTAATAAATTAAGGTATTTGAATATTTCCTATATTCATGTTTATCTAATTATCACTTTAAACATTTTTAGTACTTATACTGATTTCATTTTTTTTTTTAAAAAGTGAGGAGTTTAATTCTGGATTTGGGTCCCACACGCCTCTTATTCTCGGGCAAGCTAAAGTGACTCGCTACTATCCACATTTTCAAAGGTAATCTGTAATCTTAACTTTTCTTCATAATCATTTTTTCTAACTGTTTTTTTTAATTTTCTTTTCAGAACATTAGATGTTGCAAAGGCAATCATGAAGGAAAACGGGCATGTGTTTAGCAAGGCAGATGTCGCGATTGATTTAACAAAAAATGGGAAGTTAAAAGAAGTGAGTTTTAACGTTACAAAAATCACCAAACATACGATATTTAATTTATTGTTATCTGGTTTTTGATTAAAACAAAATTTCAGATTTTGAAAGCTGAGTCATGCTCTGATCTGTATGAAGCTGTTGGTGAGGATTTCTGGTTGGCTACTTGGTGTAACAGTACAGCTTTTGAGGGGTATGAAGTAAGAACCATATTAAACTTTTATTTCTATTAATTTTTGTTTCTCATTCTCTTGCATCTTTTACTCTTTTCAGGAAACGACTTGAAGGAACGAGGATCACTCTAGTTAAAATGTAAGTAATTTTGTTACCTATAAACCAGTTTATGAATTATGAGCTGAGTCAGCAGGATTGTTGCTTATGTGGCACAGGGGGGAATGCGGATTTGACTTTGCAATACGAACACCATGTACACCTGCTAGATGGGAAGATTTTGATGCAGAAATGACAGCAGCTTGGGAAGTAAGTACGCAAAAATTAAAATATAATATAATATAAATCGCAATGTACATAAAAATCGAGATTAAAAGAAAACATTTAATGGACAGGTATTGTGTAACGTGTATTGTGGTGAGACATACGGGTCAAATGACTTTGGTACCCTCGAAAATGTGAGAGAAGCAATCCTAAGGATGACTTATTACTGGTAATACCAATTACCAATTTTTTTTTTTTTAATTTCGTGATTAAAAAAATGTTATAGTAGTATATGATATACGTGATTTGTAATTGTAGGTACAACTTCATGCCACTTTCAAGAGGGTCTGCTGTTGTGGGTTTTACAGTGATGCTTGGGTTGCTTCTGGCTGCTAACATGGAGTTCACAGGGAACATTCCGGAAGGTGTTCAAGTGGATTGGGATGCCATTATGAGTTTGAGCCCTAATTCTTTCATGGAATTTGTAAAGATCTGGTTGTATCCATCTTTCAAGGTCACTCCAATATGGAAAGACATTCCTGATGTATCCTCAACTCTCGAGACCACTGGTTCAGTTGTTGCAGCACTTAGCTCATATTCCACCTGAAAAAGGTAAAACTACTTTTCTTCATCTCCTAATAATTTACAACTTTGCTCCCTGTGCTATATCATGTACATGTTTAATTGAAGTTTTCATAACGTTTTTAGGTGATTAATTGATCCAAGATATGCGCAAGTGTTGGTGGTTAAGTTTGTATTACTTTGTTTGTAGTTGTTGTATGATGTATCCATGTATTTTAGGAATGAAAATTTTCTCTTCGGTTTACTCCATTCGTAGGCTTCGTTGTTTTTTTTTGGGTGTATACAAATTAGTTTTTAGGATCAACATGTGTGAAAATTTTATGGTGCTTGTGTTCTTTTTATCTAGAAATAAATTATATAGTTTTTTCTTTTTGTTGCAGCTTTTTTTGTTTACTCCAGACTCGTTCACGTTGACCTGATATATTGTAAAATTGTAATAGTGATAACCCACGTGACAAAAAGAGCACTTAAAAAGTGGGAAAACTTAACCATCTCACATGGATAATGGATTGAAAGTGAAAATTGTGGATGTGGGTAATGATAACTATTATCATTGTTTCAAGTGTTAAGACAATATTAGAACTTAGCTTCTGTAGTATACCTAGAGGGTGTGTAAATTGAATTTGGCCTTCCGAATTTGACATCTAGAAGCTGCTAGACTTTCTTTATGCTCAAAATATTACTAGTATTTTATAGTTTACCCTTATATGACAGGACTTGGGTGAGGTTCGATGTATGTTGTCCATTTTACAATAATTGTACATCGGGGATACCCTACCGACATTAATAACCGTTTAATAATTAAATTAAAAGGTTTAATAATTCTCGTAAGGTACAAAACTATCTCATCTCAATTTTGTGGGCGTTATTGGACAGCCCTAGTATCTATAGATCTTAAGTTGGCATGTCCCAACCATTGACGACACATAGTAGTAGAATCATGAATGGAAGGGAAATATAATTTTTTTAATACTGATTTCTCGATGTCTATGACTCTATTATCTCGTATCCGAGTCTGAATATGATGGTAAGTGAAATATTTCAATCACTTATTTTTTATTCTTTCATCTCTTAAGTTTTAAGTTGCTTCAAGTTGTATTTGGTTTTGAGAAAGAACAAAGATATTGAAAAGGCAGATGCATTATGGGAAATATACCGTGAATATGATATGGCCGGATTAGGTTGCTCAAGTTGTCCGGAAGCTAGATTTGATGCTAGCTACATGGGAACAAAATCTAGTAAGTTTGTGTGATCAAGATTCTAAAACTCATCTAATGTGGTGATACATGTTCTTGGAAATAAGAGGAGTAAAAACATTCGAAATGAGAGGAGTAAAAACATTGAAGAGATTTTTGGAAGATTGAAATGGGATCCTATAAGCTCAATTTCAATTGTACATATACATTATTCTAATATAATTGTTAAACATTATTATACTTCTATATTAGTTATTTGATTCTACTTCTTTTTTTGTGGTTGTTCTTCCTTTTCGGGGTTTTAGGCCCATATCTGAGTCCTTGGTTTGTTTGACTGATAATTTGCACTTGTATGTGTTGCAAAGAAAGATTTTGATGAAGTGGTGATTACTTGTTGTTGAGCGTTGTGGAAGTCCCAAAATTCTTTCATTTTCAGAAAGGTGAAGCCGAGGAAATATTGGTTGTTTGATGAGCTAATTGAGTATTCATCTTTTTGGATTTCCGATAGGCATAAACGTGGGTCTTTGAACTATTTTTTATTGGTCGAAAATCCAACTCTAGTTTGTATGATTTTGTAATTTTTTTTTACTAACATCTTAGTAGTTTTTAATAATTTCCCCGTTCCGCAAAAAAAGCCCTTGTCGTATAGATGCTCAATTATATCTTTAGATATTGAAGCACACAATAACGCCTTGTTCCCGAGTTCTACTTAAGGAGAGAAATGGGAGGATACGGAGGGAAAGTGAGGGGTGTCGAAGGAAAACCGTGTTCCCGAGTTTCATTAATGGAAGGAAAGTGAGGGGAGGGGAAAGATTTTGGAGCCATATTTTCCTTCCAAAATTTCCTCCTAAATTGGGCGGATTTGGGAAGAAAGTGAAGGGAAGGAAAATTTTAAGTTTTATTTTCTTTTTCCTCCTAATTCGGGAACACAAAACTTAAAATTTTCCTTTCATTTCCTTCGAACTCGGGAACACGGAATAATGAATATTTTCCTTCACCTCCCTTTCTTTCTATCAAAATTTCCTTCCATTTCCTTTAATGAATTTGCAAAAAAACTCGAGAACAAGCCGTAAGAGTGGATGGTAAGGGCTTAAAAATTGGGTAGGGTACCAGAGGTACCTCCAAGGTATCAATTTCGCCAATTAGTAGGTTAAAAAAGGTGGACATGCGTGTTCACTAAACCGTTCAAACATTTTTAGCCCAACCATTGGTTGATTGTACGTTATGCATAAAAATTTGTTTGTAAATATGTTATTATGTTTTTAATTAGTCTGTGAATTAATTTTGTATGTTTTTAATATTTTGTAAGTTTATGTTTTTAATTAGTTTGTATTTATTAAAAAAAATTGAGTGAGATTGTGTGAATCAGGGGAAATGAGAAAGATGAGTTTTTTGATGTGTTATGGATGAGAAAAATATAAGAAATTGAAGGAATGAGAATGATGATTTTTTATGTGTATATGTTGTGGATGTGAAAAATATAAAAAAGTGAAGAGAAGAAAAACTAATGTAGACACAAGTGAGTTGAAAAAGATAAATATCCTAATGGAACGTATATGTTTTAACATTTCCCCAAAACTACTCGTGTCAAAGTTATGTCACCAATGATATGTCTTAGAGCATTGGGTATGGACAACTAGTTATACCATCATTTTGGTGCCACCTCACATGCCACATCATCAATGGTGTTATAACACAAAATGGATAAATAATCACTATGTTAAGAGCACGTTATAACACCAACTATTTTCCATTTCATAATTTTTTTTTCTGAGTTTATTTTTTTATTAAAACAAATATATTTTAAATAAAACATTATATCTAAATAAAACATAATGTTTACAAAATAAAAGTAACATAGCATTTAAATTACACATAACATTCAAATTTAAAAAAACATTACAATACAAAAAAATATATATTTTATTTTTCCTAAACAACACTATTCGTTATCGTTACCGTCGAAGATATAATCCGTCAAGTCCTCTCGAAGTTGTCTTTGTTTATTTGCGTCCTGAATGTCGACTCTATGCAAATATTCTAGAGTAAATTACGCGAATGGTCCCTATGGTTTGGGGTAATTTGCACGTTTGGTCCCTAACTTTTTTTTTAACTCGGAAGGTCCCTACTGTTTGTTTTTGTTGCGCGCTTGGTCCCTGTCTTACCTAAAATGACTATTTTGCCCTTGATTTTTTAATTTATTTAAATAAACGCACCCCCAACCCCACTTACACCTCACCTTACCTTACATTACCTACCGTAGTTTATTTAAATAGATTAAAAAATCAAGGGCAAAATAATATTTTTAGGTAAGATAGGGACCAAGCGCGCAACAAAAACAAACTGTATGGACCTTCCGAGTTAAAAAAATAAGTTAGGGACCAAACGTGCAAATTACCCCAAACCATAAAGATCACTCGTGTAATTTACTCAATATTTTGTTGTTCCTAGTTGAAATTAAACATGTCTGAGCTCCGTTGGGATATAGTGTGCAATATTTCGTCATTTATCTTCTACTACTATGTTATGCATTAGGATACATGCATACATGATATATCATAGAGTATCTAAGCCCAATGGTCGTGCCGCATGTTAAACTATGTGATACTTCGCTTTTAGCACTCCAAAAGCACGTTCCACATCCTTGCGTGCTCCTTCTTGTCTTCTCTTGAATAATTTATATCTTTATTCAACTGGGGTGTTGGAATGCCTTCACGAATGTGGAATACAGAGGATATATTCCATCCGTAAGGTAATACCCAAACTTGTATTCGTTTCCATTCACTGTGAAAGGAACATCCGGGGCCTTTCCATTCAAAAGATTGTCGAATATTTGCGACTGATAAAGAACGTTGACATCGTTGTTGGAACCCACAACCCCGAAAAATACATGCCAAATCCATAAATCTTGGGAAGCAACAACCTTTAAAACCAACGAATGTGAACCATGATGACCACTTGCATACCGCCATTTCCATGCTACTGGACAATTTTCTATTTCCAGTGCGTGCCATCAATGCTTCCAATCATTCTGGGAAACCCATGTCTTTCTTCATGTGCTGCATAAAGTTCTTGCGTATCATGCAACGAAGGTTTCCGAAAATATACGTCTCTGAATGTTTCGACAACACCTTTTGACAATCTATACAAACTTTCCCGTGCAGTTCTTTCGGACATTCTCATATAATCGTCCAGGTGTCGGGTGACTCACCCATAGCCATCAAACGAATGGCCCTAGCACATTTCTGTAACGTTGTGAATCCTCGTCTACCTGTAGCATCATATCTCAATTGGAAAAATGTATACCTAAACATATATTAATTATGTTTTAAAAATATATAGTACATTAGTATTAAAAATGTAGTAAATTTGTATAAAAATATAGTAAATATGTATTAAAATTAAAGAAACAATACCTGTTTTCCAAGGCGTTGACGATCTGTAGGAACACATTCCTACTCAAACGAAATCTTCTTTTGAACTCTTTCGACCCGTATACACAATTATCCGCAAAATAATCGCGATATAGACGTTCGTGTCCTTCCTCGCGATTTCTATTTAACATCGCACGTCTTGTTAGTAGAGGGGTTGGGTCTGCTTGTAGTAGCTCGTTGTTGTATAACTGATACATCATAGTGATGAATATATCGTCACCGTCATCGTCGGACGAGTGGAAATGATCCATATTTTTTTTTTTGAAAAGTTATGAAATTGTAGAGAATATAGAGAAAGAAAAGAGTTGTGTTAATTGAATTAAGGGTAGATATGGTTTATTTATAGGTAAAAAAAATTAATTAATTTTTTAAATAATATTACAACGATCATCATGCGAACGGTCCAAATTTTTTACCCATTCAAATTAAACTTTTTATCCCGTCTTCGTTACCACAACATTTGCCTTAACACCCCCTTAACGAGCAAGGGGGTGGTGTTCATGCGTTAAGACAGCGTTGTGGATGCTCCACCTCAGCAACAACCAGACGCAATATGTCCCATACAAATTGTTCTTACCAAATAAATTATTCGGCGTCTATTAATAACGATGTGACAAAAAAATGTTGGTCAGAGACATTTGAACAGCCTTCTAGAGATTTGATCCCATTTGATAAGAAACATTAAATCTTTTATTTCTTTTTTACATGTTTAT